TACTCCATCCTAACCATTCCTTTAACCCATGCCAGTTAGTTTTTTTACCCCAGCTTAGTCTATTCCTTACCCCATATATTCTTTTTCCTACCCTGGTCTATTCTATGCAACATTGCAGTCTGTACCATACCTCAGCCCAGTCTGTTCCTTTCCCCATCTGAGTTTATCCCCATCCCCATCCTAGTCTTTCCTGTATCTTACATCATTCTTTCTCCATCCCAGCCTGTTCCTTACCTTATCCCAGTCCATTTCTTACCCCATCCCAATCTATTCCTTACCTCATCAAATCTATTCTATACCTCATTGCAGTCTGTGCCATACTCTATCCCTATCCCCGTCTCTCCAAAACCCTTTCAAGGTCATGCTTTCCACCTAGCAGGACAGCTGATCATGCCCAACCTACTATGAGCTGTTCAGTCAAAGGTAAGATAACTTGTGACTGGACATCTCATAGCAGGCAGGGCATGATTAGCTGTCCTGTTAAGTGCAGGGCATGATTTACCCTGGACTGGACAGCTCATAGTAGATGGGGTATGAATGGCAGTCCTACTAGGTAGAGGATGTGACCCTGGAATGGCCTCAGATGTGTCTCATCTATTCCTTATCCCATCCTGGTCTATCCCTTTCCTCATCCTAATATATTTCAAGGTACTGAAGGCAAACTGATATCATTATTATGAGGATTACCAATTGTATTGGAAATATTCTTTATTGTATCAAAATGTTCTAAATCATGCAAATCCTATTACTATTTCACTCACAAATATATGGTGATTATACTTTGAGGATCCTATTGCTTTCTAGAAAATAGAGGAAATTTGTTTTTTTCTAATCTCTATGAAAAGTGACTTTGACTGAGAAGAGGTAAAGAAAACTTTGTTTAATGAAAAACAATTACATTTTATTGTTGTTTTCCCGTATGCTTAGATCATCATTATGATTATCATTGTCATAATTATTATTATCATTATTATTATCATTAACCCATCCACCACAAATTTATGTTCTGTCCTCTGTAGTTTTTTGTGAATTTTGTTACATACAGATGGCTCCATATTTGCACAGCCAGCAAGTAGTCTATCAGTAGGCCCCTTTCGTTGAATTGGCAGGAAAATGTTTTTTTCATTTTAATACAATTGCTATCGATACTTTTATTATTGTTATTAATGTTATAATTATTAAATTGTTATTAAAATCTTGGTTACATTTAAGACAATGAACTAATACAAAAGACCCTTTCCAAAAGTCAGGGAAAAGAGTAAACAGGTTAGGACTAATAACTGACTCCTTGGTGATTAAGCACTTGTAGAGCCATCTCTGTGTAAATACAGTAAGTAAACTTGTATTACAGTGGGCATGGCATGTATTCTTGCCATTCATGCCAATTAGTTAATATTAACCAATTCGCCCCGGATTTATGCTCTGTCCCCTGTAGTTTTTTGTGAATATTGTTACATACAGATGGCTCCACATGTGCTCAGCTGACAAGGAGTCTATCAGTAGCCCTATTGGCTGATCCTGATCTCCCCATTCCTTGAATTGGTAAAAAGATGTGTTTTTGTTTTAATACAGTTGACATCGATAATGTTATTGATATTAATGTTATGATTATTAAATTGTTATTAAAATCTTGATAACATTCAAGACAATGAAATACTGCAAAAGACCCTTTCTAAAAGTCAAGGAAAAGGGTAAACAAGTGAGATACGTCGGACTAATAACCGACTCCTTGGTGACTAAGCATTTGTAGAGCCATCTATGTGTAAATACAATAAATAAACATTGCATAGGGAATGGCATGTATACTTGCCATACTGGGCGATTGGGTTAATATTAATATTGATATTGATATTGAGCATATGTGGAGCCATCTGTATGGAACAAAAATAATAAAAAGCTACTGGGACAGAACATACATCTATGCTCTTTTTTTATATTTTTTTGTGAAATGCCTCTGCCCTTACCTAATTTGAATTGGCGGGAAAATGTGTTTTTTACTAGTACTATGAATATCGATGGTGTATTCTTGTAATTTCTTGTAATTGGCTCATAGGTGACTTAGTACAAGTGTAGCCATCCATCATCATCATCATCATCATCATCATCATCATCATCATCATCATCATCATCATCATCATCATCATCATCATCATCATCATCTTTTTTATTGTAATTTAATTTATTTGAAGTATTTAGAATCATGTTTTTTATTGATAAAGATTATTATCATTATTGATTGTTATTGTTATGGATTTTTTTCATAGACTGTAGTCACTTTTTCACCAATTTTACTTTGGTAAGGCAGAAAATGCAGAGAGAAGATGGGTAGTCAGTTTGAATTGAATCTGATTGACCTATGCTTGTGTTTCATATGTTGAAGATGTATGCAGGTTTCCTCATCTTCAAAAAAATAATTGTACTAGCACATATACAGAGGGTGTGTATCTATAAATATCTGATGTGTCAAAGAAATGAATTTGGTACCAAATGTGTATTTTAGGTGATGTCGCCAAACACAAATCCTTGCTGGCTAGGTGTATGGACAACATCCGTGGAAATAAGGAAAGAATTGTCGTTTTGACCCAAGAGAGAGATATTGCCACGAGCCAACTCCAGGACAAGATTAAGCAGCTGGACATCATGAAGGTATGTGCTGTAGGATATTCTACTTACTTTCAAACTTGAACCTGTGAATTACATAAAAACAACAACAATAGGGTCTCCTTGCTTTTTGAGGCTTTGGTACTCTTCTATTATCATATACAGTAAGTCTCCAACTTAAGAACATAATGGGGACCGAGAGGCTGTTTGTAAGTTGATTTGTTTGTATGTCGAAAGTTGGGTCTCCATTACCTTTTTTCCCATTGTTTTAAAGTTTTGTTTACATTAAGAATACCTGTAAATAAATCCCAATAAGTACGACATACCTCATACAGTACCAGACTCTTGATCTATATTCGTGCCTGGGAAATTTGAAGATTGCTAGCATCTTTCAAATAATTTTTTTGACTTTAGTACTTTAATAATTTTGTTTGTATGTATGGAATGTTCATAAGTAGAATGTTCTTAAGTAGGGGACTATCTGTAATATGTTTAATCTAATTCACTTTTTATTGGCATACAACTGAATCTGAACATTTTCCTCTGCCTGGTTTGAATCCTTTGTTGTCTCCTTGTATGTTTCTTTAACTTAATCTGATTTTGGTATTTCTCTATCTGTTTATAGGAAGAGCATCAGAAGGAATTAGATTCCTTACGTTCAAGTATGGAATCCTCTGCCTTAAGTATGGCAGAGACCAAGAAACAGTTGTTTGAGGAGTTACAGGCCAAAGAAGCAGAGACAGAAAGGAGTAAACAAGCAATGGCTACCTTGGAAAAGCAGATTGAAGAAAGGGAGTCTAGATGGCAGGAACAACTTCACAACAAACAGCAGGAGATACAGGAAAAGGAGTTGACACTTCAGGTAAAGCAGTTTTAGTTTTAGCTGTGTTTACCAACACTCATGCAGTCACATGCATGCACACACACAAGCACACATACAAAAACACCAGCACACACAAGCACACATACAAACACAAGCACACACAAGCACACATACAAACACACCAGCACACACAAGCACACATACAAACACAAGCACACACACAAACACACCAGCACACACAAGCACACATACAAACACACCAGCACACACAAGCACACACACAAACACACCAGCACACACAAGCACACACACAAACACACCAGCACACACAAGCACACACACAAACACACCAACACACACAAGCACACCAGCACACACAAGCACACCAGCACACACACAAGCACACAGCACACACCCGCACACACTCGCACACACTCGCACACACCCGCACACACCCGCACACACCCACACACCCGCACACACCCGCACACACCCACACACCCACACACCCGCACACACCCACACACCCGCACACACCCACACACCCGCACACACCCACACACCCGCACACACCCACACACCCGCACACACCCACACACCCGCACACACCCGCACACACCCACACACCCGCACACACCCACACACCCACACACCCGCACACACACACACCTGCACACACACACAATCACGCTGGCGCACGCATACCCTGGGGCACATGCACACCCAAGTGCATGCACACCCCGGCACAGGCAGTGTACACACACACACACACACACACACACACACACACACACACACACACACACACACACACACACACACACACACACACACACACACACACACACACATATGTGCACACATAGAAACGTACTCACACCTACACTCACATTCATGGTCATACTCAAATTTGTACACACTCATACTCATACTCATAGTCAAATAGCAGTGAATGACAAAACACTACCATGTTGATACCAAAGTAGAAAAACCCATTACATATGTACAGTGTATAGTCAGTTTTTTCTGTGTACATTTGTATATATATGTATATTTATGTATATTTAAATGTATATCTTTATCCAGGAACTTCAGAACAATGAAAAAGCTGATGAAGGTAAAGAGCAGGACAGTGACGCTGTTGTAGCATCCATTAAACAAGAGGTAGAAACAAAGATCAAGGAATTAGAATCAAGAACCTCCGAACTAAAGGAATCAAGAACTGCCTTAGAAACTCAGTTAAATGAAATTGGCCAAGTTAAACTGCAGTTAGAGGAAAAAGTACAGCAGTTAATGAAAGAGAAAGGAGAGCTTGAAAATAGTGTCTCTTGCTTAAACAGTGATAAAGCAGAGACAGAACAAATGCTGACTGCTCTAAAGAGCCAGAAAAAGGAGCTGGAGGAAAATGTGTCTGTGTTGGAAAGTTCTAAGCTTGAAATGGAGGGTAAGATTACTGATTTAGAAAGGTGTAAAATTGATATGGAAGAAAGAATTCACTCTCTTGAGAATTGCAAAACAGACCTAGAATCCAAACTGTCTTTGTCTGAAAACTCAAGGGAAGAACATGAAGGCAATATGCTAGAGCTAGAAGGTAGAATATCCAGTTTAGAAAGCTTGAAATTGGAATTAGAGGGGAAGATTAGTGGCTTACAAAGTGCTAATGATCAATTAGGAGAACAAATAGGAGAACTAACTGATAGTAAAAAGGATCTTGAAGCCCAGTTAAAGGAGGTGAACATAAAAGAACAGGACCTCCAAAGGCAGGTTGAAAACTTGCAGAAAGTACAGTCAGATTGTACAGATAGTGCTTCAGCTGCTTCTCAGGAAGTAATAACGCTAAAAGAAACCAATGAGAAGCTGGAGGCTATGCTGTGTGACATTCAGAAAGAAAAGAATGACCTCAAAGTTGTTTCAGAAGCATTAAAAGTGGAGAAGGCAGTCTTAACTGAAAGGGTAAGCGAGCAAAAGAAAACCATTAAGGAGACCTTACTAAAACTTGATGATCTGCAAGCAAGATTAAATATAAGTGAAGAGAAAAACAACAAGTTAGTTGAGGAAATTAAGAGTGCATGCAATGAAAAGATGTCTGTTCAAAACCAGCTTGAGGAACTAGAGAAAGAAAGCGAACTGCAGAAGCAGGTTCATAATAAAGAAATTGAGGAATTGAAGGAAGAGAAGGAAAATATCATGAGTGACTTGCAGCAGACCAAATTGGAAAAAGAGGAAACTAACCAGAAACTCTTAGTTCTTGAGAGTGAAAATGAAATTTTGAAAAAAGAGAAGAATCAGCTAAATAATGAAGTAAAGGAATCCAAGGAAAACATGGACAACATCAGCAAGCAAGCTTTTGGTGAGCTTAGTACTTTAACAAAAAAGATGGACAAGCTCAACAAAGACTGGTCCATTCAGATGGAGGAAAAGAACAAAATAAATGAAGACCTTAGTAAGAAGGTTTCTGAACTGGAAGAAAGCTTGAAAATGAAATCAGATGAATACAAGGAAAGAGTGGAAAAGCTGAATGAGGAACTGAAGACATATGGTAACTTAAACCAGATGAATGAAGATATGAAAAATGAACTTCAGGTGAAAGAAGACAAAAATAAGGAGCTTGCATGTAGAATAAAGGATTTGGAAAAGAACTTGCAAGGTAAGGAAATAGAATGCCAGACCTTACGGGCTAATGTCCAGAAAGGAAATGAAGAACTTAGTAGCCGTGTGGCAGAACTGGAGTCTGACATTAATAGCCGGGAGGTAGAACTCACAGCTGCAGGTGAGGAGAAGAGCAAGTTAAATGCATTGCTAGAGAAAGCTAAAGTTGCAATGGGGAAGATGCGCACGGAGCTGACAGCCTTACGTGAAGAAGAAGTGAAGGTGAAAGAAGAAGCAGCTGCTGCAAAGAAAAATGCAGAGACACTTGAGGAAGAAGTGAGAAAGTTGAGAGAAGAAAATATAAATAAAGAAAAAGAATACCATAGAGCTAAAGAAGATGTTCAGAGGGCCTCTGTTGCAGCTGAGGGGGAAGTTTCTAAGTTGCGGGAAAGTCTTAGAAAATTGAAAGAAACTTATCAGAAATATAGTAAAGAGCAGAATGATAAAATAAATGAAATGGAAAAAATCAACCAGAGTCTAGAAACTGAGAATAGTAATCTACTAAGAACTATAAGTAATTTACAGGCTTCTATAATAAAGAAAGATGAGAAAATTGAGAAATTGTGGAATGAAAAGAAGACACTGCTTAGTGAGCTTGAGAAAAGGGTTGAAGATTTACAGAATGAATTGAAGTCTAAAGAGGAGTCATTGAAGAAAGTTGTAACTGAGTTTGAGGCTAAGACAGAACAGCTGGAAGAACATATGCACAAAAATGAAGAGTCTCTGAAGGTGAAGATAGAAAGCAGTTTACAGGAGAAACATGAATTAGAGACAAAACTATCAGAACAAGTTCATGCCACAATGTCAGCAGAGGAACGACTTGTCAGGCAGGTGAGGAAGCTGATATGCTTTTACATTACATTTTTTGTTAGTTATATTATTTACATTTTATAGATATGACTGATCTTTGGGTATTTTGAAATGAATCACATGTTATTAGGTGGTGAATTTGAAATACATTAATTTTTTTTTTGCCATTTTTAGAATACCCTTGGCTTGTGTAAATTAAGTACATGCTCTTGCACTTTGGTACCAGTCTGAGTTAGTGACAAAAGAGAGAATGCTTTTGCCGGATTCAATTTTCTTGTGTTGTGGATGATAGGATTTCTTTTAACCTATTGGTACCAAGCACATACACTGTCCTCTGTAGTTGTATTTTGTTAATTTTGTTTCACATAGTTGGTACCATAAGCACTGTCACAAAGGATTCAGTTACTAACCCTACCTGACCTCACCTGTTTACTCTGTTCTTCAAATATTCAGAATAAATCTAAGTTGTTGTTGTTGTTGTTGTTGTTGTTGTTGTTGTTGTTGTTGTTGTTGTTGTTGGCGGTGTTGTTGTTGTTGTTGTTGGTGGTGGTGGCGGCGGCGGCAGTGGTATAACAACAACTTTATGAATCATACTAACAGTAATAGAGATAAACCATCCCTCATGAAAACTCAAAGAATAAAGTAAACAAGTGACGGTTGGACAATGCTTGTATAATGCCTTCCAGGTATCAGTAGGTTAACTAGTAGGCATATCATATATTTCATATTGCTTTGCTATACGCACTAGGAATGCATTTGAATATGTTAAGAAATCTTCTAACATATTCCAGCTCAAAGCATTGTTTTTGGTATTTCCAAGACAATATATACAGTTTTTATAATTATTTTAACCTTAAAGTTTTGTGGTTAATAGAGTTTCAGTTATGGGAGAATTTTTTGATAGAGTACAGTATTTTTAGTGTCACAGCACCAGATGTGTCATTATGGAGCTGTGCCAATTTGTCACAGAGATTTATGTAAAATGACTCAGGATGGGTGTCTATGTATATTTCTTTACTTCCCTTTTCAGTGTGCTATTGCTCCACTGGATGATATTTCTTTGTGAATAGATTTTGTTATTGAGAATAGCAGTCTGATATTCAGCAGCAAAATGTTTGTCTTAAAAGTTTGTTGCCTTAATAATTTCTTAATTGTCTTACTTATGCAGTCTTATCATTTGTGTTTTTTAATCATAGGATATAATAGTTGATATATCTATATGGAACAGTATATGTATTTTTTTTTTTTTTTCAATTTAATTCACAGATGGAGGAATCTGAAAGAAAAATGGCTGAATTACAAGAGACCTTCTCCAAAAAGAGCAAAGATATGGAGTATTCTTGGGAGCAAAGGCTAAGGTAAGATTATTGTATCATTTTCCTTAATATACAAAGATGTTAAAATGGGGTATATCTGTATGTCTGCGTGGATGTGTGGGTATGTGCAGATATATGTACAAGAAGCTGACAGGAGTTGAATGCAACCCCAGAGCTATTTTGCCTTGACATGCTGCTATTTTTGTCAAAAAGCCATCATACAGCCAGTCGGCACTGCGAACATGTTATTTAGTTGCTTTAAAACCTGGATTATTTGTATGCTTATGAAAGGTTCTCCATATGTGTGTGTAGGATTATAGTTGGTACATTAGGTAAATTCTAAGTACTTGAATTCGGAAAAAAATGCTGTGTTTACTTTCAGGTGGCACGATATTGCTGATTCTCTTAGTGCCAACACACGTTATATTGCTTTATACAACATGATGAAAATCTCGTATGTATGGCTCGAAACGTGTGACCCAGTAGAGCTAGTGAAGCACGCACATTTCTGGGTATGGTGTGTTGTGGTTGATAAAGTTATAGGCATATTGTATGTAATGCTGAACTTAAATGCCAACCGTTTACCTCTGATTTTAGTTGTTTCAAGACCTGTTACACATGTGAAAAGTGATCATATGTCATTGGCTTCATATATTATATAACTATATAGCTAGATATTTTTTATGAGAGAGAAAAGAAAAACCTCAAGAAGGTCAAGTGTAAAATATTGTGGTGTTATGCATAGGTGAAAATGGTTAATACAATATAGAAATTCAAATGAAGTTTAAATATATTTTCAACAATTCCTGAATAGGAGTAGCAGTTTCTTATGTTTCACACCTGAGTGAAAAGAACAGTTGAAGGGTAGAGGGAGGTTTGCTTTTTTACCTATAAACTGATCTTGATTACCGTCTGTTTTTTTGATAAATCTGGTAATCAAATTCTGTTAATTATGTAAATTATATTGTTTAGTTCAGCATTATTTGATGCAGTATACCAGTCCTTTTGTTTACCTATCCATTTAAAATACCAATTATTCTAAAACTGTTTTAGAAGCAGCAGTGTTTATTGTGTGATTACAATACCAGATAGTATAAATTGAGTGACCAGATATTTTGATATTGGTTTGTTTGAGTGTTTGATCCAGCCTGAGTATTTTAACTTGGAAATATATTTATTTTGAGTGGATGTATCTGTTTCCTTAATAGGACTGAGGAAAAGTGCAATTATAATGTCCAGCTATGACTAACTTCTTTAACATTATAAATATCAGGAAATTTTGGAAAATATTGATTTGTAGGTATGGTAAGTGTTCCTATTCTATTTAGTAGCATGGAGTGTGAGTGTATTAATGGTGTGTTGTGGCAACTTACATTTCTTCATTGATTTGTCCTGGTTTGTCTGTGTGATTAATGAAACTAGTGAATTGATAAGTATTTCAGAAAGAAATATTCCTTGCATTTACAAACTATGATAATGTTAATGTGCTGGAAAAATAAGAAAAGAAAATACACGGTTATGCATTACTCATGATTCATGGCTAGTAGAACTTGATAGATTGTAAGCATATTCTTTGTGAGGCACACAAACTACAACTCTAAGAGACTGAAGATTGTCCATTCAAAGCTCTGTTGTATTAAACATTATTAAAACAAATATTGACATTTTGGGTGGTCTTTTAGTGTGTGTATACTACTACAGATCTAATCATCTTATATGAAAATAAAATCAAACATGCAAAATGGAGTAGAAGCATAAACATGTACTTGAATGTTTGGATGAGTGCATGAATCCTTAAGTG